CTGCATGGTAGCGAAGGTGTACCCCGACTTGGTTGGCGAGGTGATGGAGAAGTCAGGAAAAGAGAGATGGTCGGGAGACGCACGCTTGGGACTCAATTGACCGGCGTTATTCTTCCGGTCATATCTTCGGACGAGTACCCAGTGGGCCTACGCTTGACCAGAGCATGGGGGAGGTGGGGTGGGGAGGGGAGAAGGAAGATGAGGGAGAGGAAGAGGACGAGGAGGAGGTGGAGGAGGTGGAGGAGCGGGAGCGGGAAGAAGCGCAATACTCAAGCTCAAGAGGTCGCGTACGTATCGCGAAGAAGAGGTTCCCGGAGGTGGGCCAGGGATGGATGGACGTGTTGGCTGCCAACCACAAGAATGGAACTCGTCGACGTTTGTTGTTCTTCTTGCTTTTTCTGGTGTGATGTCGAACGCAACGTTTGCAAGTATTATGCGCTACCCTTTACTCTTGGTACCCCGTTTTGTCCCCGGGGGGGACATAAATTTCGTGTACCCTGGTGGGAAGTGGCCAGTACAGTGTGCAAAAACTGTAGGGTTTGTTCTACCGGAACAGCGGTCTGAACAGCGCATAAAATGGGCATGATATGGGGAAATCCCCGTTTTGTCCCCGGGGGGGACACAAGTTTCGTGTCCCCTGGTGGGAAGTCGCCAGTTAAGTGCGCAAAAACTGTAGGGTTTGTTCTACCGGAACAGTGGTCTAACAAGCGCAAAACATNTGTGGGAAGTGGCCAGTTAAGTGTGCAAAAACTGTAGGGCTTGTTCTACCGGAACAGTGGTATGACAAGCGCATAAAATGGGCAAGATAAGGGGAAATCCCCGTCTTGTCTCCGGGGGGGGACATAAAGTTCTTTTCCCCTGGTCGAAAGTGGCCAGGCAAGTTTGCAAAAATTGTAGGGTTTGTTCTACCGGAACAGCGATAAAAAAAGCGCTTCAAATGAGCAAGATATGGGCAAATCCCCGTTTTGTCCCCGGGGGGGGACAGAAATTTCTTTTCCCCTGATTTGCGTTTCCCTATACATTGAGTAAGATAAATCACCAAGTTTCGCTGAAAACCCACCTTCCCGACCCCGGATTAAAAATCTGAGACCGAATATCGCATCTACACACCGACAGCAACCCACAACTGAATTTTCAGAGCTTAGGTGGTTTGGCAACATTATCAATCTCAACCCCTCCCCGGCATATACCGGAAGGCGCCCCAGGCTCATTCGAAAGCTATGGTCATCTCCTGTCGTTGAGTATGCCGTAGGCTAGCATGTGGTGCAGATTTTTTACTTTTTTGCCTCTCCAAAGCCAAAATTGTGTCTGCTGTAGAGTAAAAAAGCAAAAATACAAATAATATACGAAAACGCGAAAAAAAAACAGGGAAAATTTGCTCCTGAATACTATTAGCCTCCGTAATAGCACTACACCGACCCATGGAAGGTAACCCACGTCATCCGCGCCCGCCTGAGCTTCAAGGTCCGACTAAACGGGCGACGGGTGCGCCAACGCCGTGTCAGGCCACCGATGTCAAGATGTACCACGCGCGACCCCACCACCTCCGGCTCCCGTTCGAGGACGAGCATGCGCACCTCCTGTGGTCCGCCGACCTCGGCCTCGCCGACATCCCTGTCGTCACGGTCTCCCTGTACACGCTTTTGGACAGAAAGGTCGTGCATGGTACCGGCGGCACCTCGACATGGTCTCGGGAGCATCAGGGCCGCTCCCAAGACGGCACGCTGTCGCCTTGGCTGACGGAAGATAAGACGAGCGACAGCTTCTTCCCCCTCCAGCTCGACGTCTTTCACGCGGTCTATGAGGCCAATCATGGTGAGGATGCTACATCACGACCTGCCGGACCCACCTACCCGAGGCGCACATGAAGTGGAGTCGCGGGAACACGCCATGCGGCTTCTTTCCAGCGGACACGCAAGTGGGCCGGGAATTCGTCGATAGCGAGGACCAACCCAAGGATTTCAAGGCCCCCGTCTTCGACTTTTGCGACTCTTACTGGCGACTGGAGTACCTCTACGGCGACTGGGAGGAGCCCACGAAGCGAAAGATGGACGTTGGCGTGGGCGTGGCTGCCCGCCCTTCTCCCTCCGTGAGTCGCAACTGACCCGTACACCACTGCCTCCAGCCTGCTGACTGTTTGCCTGGCAGTCTGGGGTGGTGTACTGGCAGTGGACGGCCACGCAGAATCTCGAGCGGACAATATTTTTTTGCATCGCCGTCATCGTACCGATCGCCGGAGAATGGATAATACCCACGGTCGCCGTCTCATGACCCACGACAGTCACCATCACCTTCGCCTAGTTCGAGGTCGTGAATCCCTTCGCTAGCTTATGTCTTCGCGACTAACATTGTAGGAAGCGCGCGTCGAACTGGGTGGGGGGAACCGGAATGCCCGTCCTATTAGCATAGCCGTGTACCACGGTCGATGCTGGGGGGGTGTTACGGCTGGTCGTCCCCATCGGTTGTCAAAATACGATGATGGATACTTCGCATGGTCTCGAGTATCCGGAGGGCGCAGGCTGACATGGTCGGGAATCGGACACACCAATATGTCTCCCGATCTAGCCTGCTAGTGCGGCCACGATACCGGCCCCTGGGGGCAAACGCCTCTTCCTCTGGCGCGTGTCCCGGAGAAAAAAAACAGGTGAAACTCTATACAGACAAGCGAGGCAAAGATCTTGGGCCATATCCCTTGCCCAATGCCACCCACTGTGAGTGGTGAACCTGACATGCTGACTATGGAGCCTGCTATAGATACTTGGATGCATTGGATGCGATATGGATATCATGGGGGTGTTGGAATAGAGCTTTTGTGTTTGGAGCTACTAGCTAGGATGTGTGATACGCTCGATTTCTTATAGATTGTCCACTCCGCAGACATGGGTTGACTATGTCCGTCTGCACGGGTGAGACGTATCTTGCCCGATTGGATATTGCCCAACCTTGAGTCTGTTTCAATGGGAGCGACTTGTTGCACAGGACAGCATCCGACTGCTGACCCCTTTCTTAGTGGTGTGAATAAACATTCTACACTAGGGCCGAGAACCGACGAGCGGCGAGAACCATGTACGTTTGGTCACGACTCTCTTTTTGCAGGCCGATGCCACCTTTTCTTCTCCTCTATCTGCTCTTCTTCTTGTTCTCGAACATTTGACGCCCAACCAAGATCATGCATTCAACGATACAACTTCAAACTACATGCATCCATACTCACCTTCCGTGTTATTTGCGTGTGTTTGCAAGTACGTATGCATGCACACATGCGTGTATACATACATAATGTGGACAACATTAGCTACTTTCGATCCATGGTCGGCCCTGGGTGGACGCCAGACGATATCACTGGGTTACGTGTTGTCTAGAGCGAATAGCACGACAATAATAACTGGTATTTTGTATTTTCATGCGGACTCTCCGAAACACTTGGGCTCGTAGTCCCGTTCTCTCCGTTTAGGCTACAGTTTTTCCTGCCTGGTAATGTACCCGCCGTCGCGTTTCGCCCATGATGTCTTACCCCCGGGCGGAGGAACAAGCGGGTGATTCCACGCCTCCCCCGTGGCATGGAATGGGGGAAAGAAGGGGAATAGGCGTCTGTTCTTGATTGTCCAGGGCTGTCATCTTGGCGGCAGCTCTGCCACATTCAACACATTGGACGTCGATCGTCTTGCTCGCGCCTAGCAAGCGCGAGCATCTCATTACTTTCGTGAGGTCTAGTAACCTACGAGGGTCAACACCGCGCTTGACAGAGCACGCGTGCTGTGCCCGTGTTTTACTTGGTAGAGTTTCACAGAATCATTGAAAATACTCGATTCAGGTACAACATCAACACGCTTCTAGAAGCGCGGCTCGTATCGTTGTCGGAAAGGGTGGAAGATCTTCCACCCTAGATGATAGCGAACGCTTCGATAGCGTCGAATCCGCCGCAGGCGTCTTCATTAGACGCACCCTCGCAGACCATATCACACACTCCCTCATCTTCTTCCGAGAAGGTCATGGAACACCAGCACTGCCATGGTGTTTTCGGGATGAGGAGGAGCGTGTTATTGATGTGGCATGGTGGCTTCGGGGGAGGGGGTACTCTTATGTTTTGCATGCCTTAGCGGATAGACTAGACCATTGACCACGCGTCTTCGAGAGGACGGAGCATTTTTCCCACAGGACCGATCACCTACGACCAATCGTTCCTTCCTACTCTGCCGAAGGTGGCTCAAAATGTCTTCTCAAGTCTATCTTTCATATCGACATCACTTTTCGCCTTTTCAACCCACTTCTGGTGGCCTGGGGGGGGGGTTGTGTGGGACAAAAAAGCGATATGAAGTCTGTCGCTACGAAATATGGGTTCTCGATATTTTGCATGCAGAACAAACGTGAACAACAGCGGCAATAGCAACGATGACATCGACAGCATATTTACCTCTTTCGAGTACTGCAACCCGAAGAACAAGTAGTCAGCGTTCTCTCCGACGCAGTGGTTGTAGCATGTCTACAATGTAGTGGACGGGAACGGAAGGTAAGCGGCGTGGCTCGCGAATCACATGTGGCACAGCAAGGACGTGGGTCGTGGCTGGTTTAAAGTAGATGCTCCCAACGAACGCCTGTTGGCTTTCTTGTGGCTTGCCGGGCCACGTAGGACTACACAAGAAGAACTGAACGAGCGCTAAGACTGGGATGGGGAAATATCCTTACGGGAGATTCAACATCACAACCACTCGAAGCACTGAAAAGAACAGCATGTTTTGACACAACACCCTTTGTACAAAATAGTGTCTAGTGAAACTAGGTAATAGTCGACCAATCCAACCCTTAGACTAGTCCAGATCAGAGATTGGGACAAAAATATCACCTTCGCACACACCTCGACAGACAACTCCGACAAAGCGGTCATAGTCTCCATGGCCCGTGAGCCGTCCCTCAGATCAGCGAAACAACCCAACGAAGTGTACGCGTCAGGCACACCTACAGAACAGCAGTAAACGCACCAGGGACGGATGAACAGCAATCAATTCCGAGCGAAGGCCGGGCAGGGAGCACATAAGCACGTCAAACGGTAGAGAAAAGCTTGGATGCATGTTAAATACTCACAGTAGCATTTGTTAGAGAGACTGCGTGGTTTGATCCGGCCGAAGTACCCTTGCTGCTTGGAAATAATCTACTGAGCCATTGCGTTGGCCGTCGCCAATAGCGTCAATCTTGGAGCTATGCAGCCAGCAAGCATGTACTCATCGCCTTCATTTCTACCCTGAATCTTGTGAGAGACCCTTCCCGGCCCCACGCGATCATATCCCTCTTACATCCTCGGGATCCAGGGTAGGCACAGGCGCGGGAGTAGGATCGTCAGTAGGAGAGGTAGCGACGGACCCAATCTCGTATACGGTCATGGCGTAAAGCCTGCCGCAGAGCTCCCCAGAGTTTCCAGCACATGCGTAGCTATAGGCGGTAGAGCTCTGGGTTGCTCCAAGCGATCCTGTGCAGAAGCACTGAGGTCATATCATGGTTTCGGAGGAAATCGGAGGACGGGGTACAAGGAGTCCAAACGTTAGACATTGTGGCGGCTCGCCCCGGGGGATTCTATTGGAGCTAGAGAGCAAGGAATTCATCTGATAAACTTATGCTTTGCTGATTTAGTCTACAGGACGAATACGCTACGCGGTTGTGCGGAAACGGACCGCAGCTACAAAGGCGCGACTTCGATCACAACCAGCTCAAGAACGCTCGAAAGATGCATAAGAGAGGGTACCACAGACATACGAGCATTTGAGAAGCTGCCGTCCGAAGCAGCTCACACCCGCGCTGCATGCTATAATAGGCCCATGATGACAGATTGGCTTCCTCTCTGGGGGCAAAATCACACCCACTTGCCCCGAGCGAAATCATACCGTTTAGGCTCAAACTACGCCGCCGGGGCGGCTCATTTCACTCCCTTCGTACCTCTTTGCCATACTGCGTGCCGAAGTGAGTGTAGGTGTCGTCGAGCCCATGGGATAGCCCGAAGCAGAGCTGAGAGGAACAACAAAAGCACGAACAAGCAGGACAAGGCCGTTTGGAACACGAGCCGGACCGACTTCTCAGACTATCTCACGATTACCTCCGTCATCGTCCTAGACAAGAACACCATCCGTATCACGAACAACGACAGCAGCACCAAGGGCAAGGGCAAGGCTGGACAACACGGCTAGAACCGAAGCATCCCCAGATTTGCCGGAAAGCGGTGCCTCTCACATGGTCATCACATGATCAAGGCTCAACTCACCTCCGCGGTCATGGCATTGCTGGACAACGGTCCCACCGGCATCACCTGGACTTCCAAGCACGATTATGGGGCAGATGGGGGGGAATATGTTCACAAGACAGGACGGGGCGAGAACAGGCAGGTCGAGTACAACGCGATCAAGCAAAGAGAATAACGCCAGCCGTTGACGTTGAATTGAAACCTCGACCATCGGTCACCTGGATGTCGCGGATCTCTCGTACCAGTACATGATATCGGGACGCGAGCGTGCACGCGTCACGAAACGTGAGTGTAGGGCGTCGAGAGGTGAGGTAGCGGGTGACTCTTTTTCCAAAATCGGGCAAAAGCAAGATCACGTCTTCACTCGGGTATAGAACCGACAACGCACAATCGGACAACTAAGCGGGGACACTACAGGCGCACAGAACATGTTGTAACGCGTGAAAATTGGGGAACCAGGGATGTCACCAACACCAAACACGACCTCTACGACGGCCTTGACTCTCACCCGAGCGCCGTTGAAGTCGGCAACATATCCAATGAGCTCATAGTCGTCGGAGGGGACCACGGGCTCCGGGGTAGGCACGGGCGCCGGGGTAGGCACGGGCGCCGGGGTTGGGTCGTCAGCAGGAGAGGTGGTGACGGAGGCGATCTCGTATACGCTCATCGCATTAAAGCCGCTACAGATCTCGTCTGCGTTTCCAGCGCAGTCGTAATCACAGGCGGTGGAGCTCTGGGTTGCTCCGAGAGATCCTGTGCAGAAGCACTAAGCATGTCATGATTTAGGAGGAAATCGGAGGACAGGGCACAAGGAGTCCGAAGGTGAGAAAGAATGGGGGGCTCGCTCCAGGGGAGTCCTTTGGGGCTAGAGAGCAAGGAATTCTTGTGATGTAATCTTGATGAGGTCGTCTATAGGAAGAATACATTTGATTGTGCGGGAACGGACTGCAGCTACATAGGCGCGAATTCGACATCAACCAGCTCAAGACATCTTCTTGCCGAACACACTGCCTGAACATGTTGGAAACATGATGACAGGTTGACACACCGACTTGCCCCTAGCGAAATCATACCGTTTAGGCTCAAACTACTGTACGCCGCCGGGTCTGTACTTGGATGGCTTATTCCACTCCCTTCGTACCTCTTTGCCATGCTGCGTGCCGAAGTGAGCGTAGGCGTCGTCGAGCCCATAGCAAAGCCCGAAGCAGAGCTGACTTCGCAGACTATCTCACGATTACCTCCGTCATCGTCCTAGACAAGAACACCATCCGTATCACGAACAACGACAGCAGCACCAAAGGCAAGGTCAAGGCTGGATAACACGGCCAGAACCGAAGCATCCTCAGGTTTGCCGGAAAGCCGCGCCTCTCACATGGTCGTCACATGATCAAGGCTCAGCTCACCTCCGCGGTCATGGCATTGCTGGACAACGGTCCCACCGGCATCACCTGGACTTCCAAGCACGATTATGGGGCAGTTGGGGGGGAATATGTTCACAAGACAGGACGGGGCGAGAACAGACAGGTCCATTAACACAACGTGGTAGAGTAAGAGAATAACGCCAGCCGTTGACATTGAAACCTCGACCATCGGTGACCTGGATGTCGCGGGTCACTCGTACCAGTACATGATATCGGGACGCGAGCGTGCACGCGTCACGAAACGTGAGTGTAGGGCGTCGAGAGGTGAGGTAGCGGGTGACTCTTTTTCCAAAATCGGACAAAAGCAAGATCACGTCTTCGCTCGGGTATAGAACCGCTACGCACAATCGGGATAATAAAGAGGAGACACCACTGGCGCACAGAACATGTTGTAACGCGTGAAAATTGGGGAACCAGGGATGTCACCAACACCAAACACGACCCCTGCGACGGCCTTGACTCTCACCCGAGCGCCGTTGAAATCGGCAACACATCCAACGAGCTCAGAGTCGTCGGAGGGGACCACGGGCGCCGGGGTAGGCACAGGTGCGGGGGTTGGGTAGTCAGTAGGAGAGGTGGTGACGGAGGCGATCTCGTATACGCTCATCGCATTAAAGCCGCTGCAGATCTCCTCCGCGTTTCCAGCGCAGTCGTAGTCACAGGCGGTGGAGCTCTGGGTTGCTCCGAGAGATCCTGTGCAGCAGCACTGAGGTGGCGACGTGTCATGACAATGGGTGGGGAGGAGGAAATGCGAGAAGGGAAGAAGGGCAGGGGGTTGGTTGATGAAAGTGCGCAATATACTTACAACGTGGACTTGGTGATTCTTTGGCGCTGGTTCCGTTGAAGCATGACTATCCGGACAACATGCGGCTTTCAGCACGGGTTCCGACAGGCCTTCGTTCACGGTGATAACGTTTCGGAGTCACCTCCTCTCTTCAGAAATCAAAACGAGCAAGATCTGAAGACAATCACCACGAGAATCACGCACAGCGGAACCAACAAGCGCAGTTCCACGTTAATCGAAAGCAATGTAAACCAACGCCACCCACCTCCTTCCCGTACTGGATACCGAAGTGGGTGTACGATACGTCTAGATCAGAGCAAATCCTGAGGCAGATCTGCGAAGGAATAATGAGTGGGGCGGGAGGGCACAACACTCAACGCAAACGGGAGCAAAGGAAACCAAACCTCGGGGCATGATCAAGCGGCGTAATAGGGCGGAAAACGTTCTTAAATTTGTGCTGCAGGAGTGTCGAACCAAGGCATTCACCTGGAAGCACCCGTGTGCGCCATAAATGTGGTGCGACACTCCATTTCTATGCAAGAGGCTCTCTTGGTTGGGTGTGGGTTCCTGTTGTTCAAGGCCGACAAGACGCGTGTGTGTTTAGTCGTTCTGTTCATCTTGAGTTAACCGACGCCAAAAGCTCTGATCTGCCAAGGTTGCCTCAAACGCTTGCGCATGCTCTGAATTCAAGTGCCCTAGGAAAGGATTGGGGCATTGTCTCATGGGCCAGACGTGTTGCCGACACATTCTAGGTGATAGATGTGTCTTATCTAGCAGAAATGGCAGAGGCATACAAGTACCATCGGCCACGATCCCTTACCGACGATGGGACCCGGGACCAGCACAAGCATCAAAGCACCCTTCTCAACTTCTACAGGGAATTGCCTCCACAGCACATGTGGGTGGGGGGGGTGTACTCATACTCATAGTGTGCATGCCGTAGTCGTTAGACCATTGACCTCGCATCCCTACAAAGCCGGGACGGAGCACGCCGGATTCTCACCGGACCAGGCTCTCACATCACCAAGCGCGAAGCGCCGTGAGATATTTGGCGAGTCGCGTGAAGGGTGCGCTGCATCCTGCGAAGGGTGTTCGGCATCTTGTGCTCACTTCCTTGCATACGGATGACAGTTGCGTATTACTTAATGTATTTTGTGGTGCTTTCACTTCCAGAGACAGTTATGGGCACTGGGGAACTGCCTCGAGGGTGCTTGACCATTTTAACACAACGTGGTGCGATCATCCCCCTTGCGCGGAGTGAGAGTTCTCGACCCCGCACAACATGATCTACTCGACCACCAGTATGGTTACCGCCAAAAAAAAAACAGAGGCAAAAAAAAAACGGTAACCTGGTTGCCGAGTTCACGAAGTGAATTGGCTTGTTCTACAACGTCGTTGCCAAGCGACGAAAACCCAACCAAACCCCGAGGGGGGGGTTGGAAAATGAAAGCAATGATCCGTGGTCCGCAATACCTCCGCGGACATGGCGTTCTCCGCAATCGGTTCCACAGGCATCACCTGCCATTCGATAACACAAGAGTGCAAGAAACGCAAGTACCAGACGTTTGTCACGGAACAACATAGGTCCGAGGGTTGCAGTATAGCCATGCAGTAGAACAGGCCGGCGCTTAGCACGGGGAGTCTGAAGAAGTTCAAATCATCCACAACCTACGGAGTTGACATTAAAAACAGGCGCTCAATTTTGGACTCTCTACTTGAATAAATCAATCCCCCGTTGGGTTACAAACGCCTCGCACAAGCAACAAGCTGTGAGCCTCGGGCAAGGCAGGAGGTTCTTACAACATGTGGTGGCGTCCTGCATTCGACATTCAATGTGAACGCATGCTTGACCATCTCAGATGGGAGGCTTCGCTTGCGTTCTCGCGGTTTCGAGAAACACACCATCAACCATTTTTTCGTTTCCTTTCCCTCTCGTTCCACCGTAGTTTCCATCGGTGCGACATCCACAAACTGAAACTCCGTTGTTTCACGCGATATTTCCGCTACAAGCGAGTTTGGGCGACACGTGCCTGCACTACAACCCCCCCTAACACCCACGACTCCTCAAGACATTGTTCATTCTGTCGTCGTTGTCTCACCCTATTGCTTTGGTCGTCGGCAACACATCCGGTGAGCTCGAAGTCGTCGGAGCCGACGGGGGCGGGGTTGGGTTCCTCTTCGTCCTCGTTGCCGCCACCGGTGCTGCCGCCAATCGAGTATACCGAGATGTGGTCGTCGGTGCCGCACCGCACGCGGGAATCGCCGGAGCACAGGTACTTGTACTCGGGGACGTCGCCGCCGAACGTGATGTCAATGCCGCACACGGAGCCTCCGATGCCGTAGACATCGTCGATAGGGCTGCCCACCAGCTCGTCACCGCACAGGCACTGGAGAAGAGGGGGGGTGTGTCGTCGTAGCGAATCAATAGCGTGGGAAAGGGCGGAAGAAACGAGAAGGTATCCAACATAGACAACGTAGGTCGTCTGAGGGCGTGGCTTTGGTTTCAATGGTCTATCATTGCCCTTCCTGCACAACGGGGCAAGCGAGTCGGCAGTTCATGCATTGACGGTGGTGGGGGTGGAGCGACAAACTTCGGGCTACCGTAGAGGTAGTGTTTGCGAAAACTGGCACACGCAGGTTTCGTAACTTGAACATGAGATAACACTTCTTCTAAGTTACCGCCGGCATCCAGAAATGCACTGCTACCTATCCTTTCAGGGTGTCCTATCCAGGCACGGCCTTCAACGTAAGGTATGGGAAACGACGTCCTGCCCTCTTACCTTGACCGCGGATTCGAGACCGAGGTACTGGGTTCCTTGAGCTGTGCAGGTGGCCGCGCAATTCTGTGACAGGGCAACAGCAGTGAGAGTCGACTATTGTGTTCTTGAGTGTTTTTATCACTACGATGCGACAACACTCCTCCCTGTTCAAATGATCGAAGCCAGTGCTGCAGTGAAAAGCTTTCACTACAACACCAGGTTTCGGCATCCAGCTGTCGTTCGGAGCGTTGCCGCGCCTCAACACGACGGAAGTAGTATACCACGCTACCCGAGTAGTCGCGGCTTTGAGGGCGAGCAGTTGAAAACCGATTCGCCGATGAGTGTGAACAGGACGCAATTGTTGGATGGGCAAACACGTGCGCCAAAGCTCATGTGAAAAGCAACCCGCAGGGATTTGTTGGAAAGAGAACCAATTCGATTCTTCGAGATCAAGGATTGTGTTGCACCCTGTCTCCCATCTACGACACATCATGAGAAATAGACGCTGACCATAGCGTACAAAATACATGACGGCAAACGAGCAAGCAAATATGGGTGTGCCTGCCTCGACGAGGAAGTTGACGGCCCTCCTGTGGTATACACCACGCGCGCAGGCCAAAAATACCAGCATTTGTCGGATCATGGGCTTCCCCATACCTACCCGTAGAGAGTTGAGGACTTTCCCAGCCAACCCCAATCTACATTAAATATGGGTCGGCTCAATTTGGGGCAGGATCCAATTTTTCACTTCCGAGTCCAATGTAGTATCTGTCAAGAATGCGTATGACTTTTGGTCGATCGGGATCCGAACAAACTCACCTCGAGCGTCATGACCTTATTGGCGTCTTCCCCGTCGTCGTCGGTGCCGTCGAACGGGCGGTATTTCTCGGCCGAGTCTTTGCTGTTGCTGCTACCTGTCGTGTTCAAAAGTTCGTAAACCGCAAATGGTGACAATGAGTCGGTTTTGTCAGATATGAAAGTGTCCTTTTGAAAGGGGGCGGGTGGGGATGAACAATCTCGTACCGGGGTACGAAGCTGACGACAAAACCCTGGCACACACCTCTCGCCAATCACCCCACGCAAGAGACACCTTTTCACGGCGGGATGGACGTGGACAACAGCAGTCGAACAATCAAATAGCGAAAAACGAAGCGGAGCACACGTATTTACGTGTGGACCCGTCGGCGGTGCAGAATATCCCCGCGCTATAGCACCCTACGTACGTCACGTCGGCTAGGTGCAGCTCGTCCGCGCATTGCAGTGGCGGGAACGGTCCCGAGTACATGACCGAGTAGTACCCCTCGGAGCCCTCCAGAGGAAAGGTGAATGTTTCCTCCTCTCCGCTGCCAGAGGGGATAGGGGCGTAGTCCAGGCTGTCTTCGAAGAAGGGAGTGTTCAGGGTGTCCCAGATGTGGTACTGCCACGCATATTTGAGGACATGATGAGAAGTGTAAGTCTTGTGGATAGCGGAGGAGAGGGTTGCCGAGAACGAGGCGTGGGGTATCCTGAACGTTCTACAGTGGTACAGGGAAACGTGAACCTGCACACCGTGCTCACCTCGTCAGGGACGTACTCGACCTCCCACGCGATCTTCTCCATAGCATTACCGCCGTTGGTGCTCTTGGAGACGAGTTCCAGCTCATAGTTTCCCCAGGGGGCGCAGATTTAAAAGTCCATCTGCAGCCTACGCCATAAACAAAAAGTCGAATGGCAGGAGTATGAGATTTAAGATAAGGAATGCCTGTAGTAAGCGAGTTGGGCACGTACCAGTTTCGACAGCTGCAGACCGGCATTTTGTTGCTGTACAATGCGAAGGCAAGCGCCACCGGACATCAGAACGGATTCATGCTCGAAGCAATTACGGAAAATTCTGCCGTTGTCGCACAGCAAATGGTGGAGATTGTGTCCGCAAGGACGTAAACGTTCTACGCATGTCAAGTGCATGTTGACAGGCAGTGTACGAGAGGCCGATCCTCGCGCCTACAAATCATACGGGAAGGACATGCGAGCTTACCGGTCTCCGTCGTCGATGGAATCGCCGTCGTAAGTTACGGTTTCGGAGAAGCCGTCCGTGACGGCGTTGCCGCACTCATCGGTCAATTGCCTGTGATTGAGTGGGGGGGGCACACGACGACGGAAGAGATATCGATCGCGAAGCGCAACGTCGATCGGCTCGTCTTTGCTGCAGGGAAAGCGCGCGGAAACGATGATCTACACGTACGAGAGGTGCATTCGAAGAATAAAGATAACCAGAACCATACACACGCTCGTTCTTCGCCAAAAACAAGTTTGATCTACATCTAGGGGTGTTTGTTTCAACATCTTTGAGGAGGGTGATACGAGAAACGGGTAGCTTTTGATGGCGCTCTACGCCTCTTGGAAGCGGACAACATTTTGCACCACTGTCCACATGCTGGCTGCCGATCTATGCCCGGGTTGCGGGCGGAAAATAGTCGTTGGGAATCTGCACCATCGACGTCGTGGAATAGCGTTATAGAGAGTTGGCTGCAGTTTGCACAAAACGACGGACGCGTACCTCCACGTCATTTGCATCCAGGGCGACGAGTTGTAGTCGAACCCTTCGATCTGCAGATAGCGCACCTTCCTAGCCTCGGATTCCAGTATCGATGGACAAAAGATAACGATACCACAGGACAAGACACGCGACGTTTTTGGGGATCAAGGGGAGTGGACAACATCAATATCGAGAGCAAAGTTGTTTGCGTTTCAGCCCGTCCGCGTTCTGTACGTTGCGCCACATCCGAACCGCAAAGGAGTAAAACAAAAGTACTGTGGCTCTGCCACTGAATGGTCAAGATACCCATACATGCAGGTTGACGAGCGCAGCCAGGTTTCGAGCGATGCGGGCCGCAGGCTGTGGGGTTGGTGGGTGGGTCGCAGTATATCATGGGCAGCTCCTGAGTACATTACGGCGGTGCAAGCGAAAATTTGAAGAGCCAGACTTTGGCATGCAAATCCCCAGCAAACCTATTTCGATGCCCCTAGGAAAGCTGCCGAGCACGGCATTCCCTTAGGGCACACGAGGTCAAGAGCAACCCGGCATTCATTCGCAAAATCAGGAATGACTGGAGCTATACGTAACGAACCAGTTGTCTTACCGCAGTTGTTGACGCTGTCAAAGTCGTCCCCGGTTCGCAAATCGAATATGGCCTTGACGCCATCGACAGCTGGCATGCCGCCAGGAAGGCCTTGGAAGCCGCGGCAAGAAGCGTCATGATTGAAGAGGGCTTCATCCTGGCCGAAGGAACTTCGAGTAACGGAGTTGGTATTTCGTGCGAGCGGCTTTCGTTCATTAGAGAGAGAGAAAGAAAAACGAGAGAGAGGAACCCAAAATGAGAGTTTGGGCGGCCGCAGACTAGGGAGCAGGGCGGCCTGAATCGTGGTGTGTTTGGCAGCAAGAGATTGGAGGGGAGAGGCGTAACGCAGCATACGCACGATGTATTGTCACGCCTATCTATCCGATTTGAATTGGATTATTGAGCAACTTTTAGATTCATATTTCGGGTACATACATGCGTGCTCAGCCCACAAACCGCCGACCCCAAAAAAGTATTTAGTTTCAGATTCGGGGACTCGGGGGGAGGGGCGGGGGGGGGTTTGTGCGCGCCGAGGTGCGGTGGGGTGCCAGAAGGGCATACAAATAGCGCCGTCGGCATGATATCTCTGCCTGCCAACGCGACGACAGCCACCTAACTTTTGGAGCAAAAGAAGGGAGTGACCGACTTCTTTGCGCTGACAAATCCCATGCTACACGAAAAGTTCCGTCTCGATCAATTATTAATTGGTTTCATATCGACCGTTGATCACGTTGATCAATCAATCAAGTGTTCGGTTCTATTTTGGATCCGTTCGGCCTGAACACGCTACTATAGTTACATTGATCAATCACCTACTGATACATCGAATCCCCCCACAAAGGTTTCCTCGGCGTATGTCGGGCAATCGGCGTAAATTAAACAGCAACCCCGTATGTGCACCTCGTAGTAGTAGGTAAAGGGACGGAAATACAGGTAGCCTTCTATGAATTCATGGCTACTCTATTTTAAGCTCTTTTCTTTGATAGAGAGGTGGATTGGGTTACATTCAGAAAACATATAACCCCCCCCCGAAAATACGCTCCGACCCGAGCGCAGATGACCCCCAACCCCGCCAAACGGTCTGGCTTTGCACGCTGCTTATTCTGTTCTCGCTCTCTGTGTATTTTGAGAATCACGTGGTGGACGAATCACATCCCGTTTTGTGTAGCAGATCCGCCGGGATTAAATGAAAATTCGCGTTCTTTTCGATTTTTTTTTTGATGAGAATGAATGTAAGGTGAGATAGAGCCCAGAAATAGGGTTAACGGTGAGGAATTTCATTGGGCCATTATCCCTATGAAAAAATTTGGACGTCCCCCGTTCAGTATGTTGCAGGGTGAGGGTAAAACTGCACCTACAGAATATTGTGGCCGCTTCTTTGTTTTGCGGTCACGACGCAATTTTCCAATTAAAATCTTGCCGATCCTTCGAGGATGAAGTAGATACAGTCGACCCCGCTTTGACGACGCTCGAGTAAAGGAAACTCCCCGCTTTAAGGAAACTTTTTTGCTCAGCACCAGGGGCCCGGCCGAATATACGGTTATGGGGTATCTCCATTTTTTCTGCCGCGTACTCCCCTTTTTTGTGTTCTGCGGGCCTGCGGGCCGCTCTTCGCACGAACCACGCCCCACAGTGAGTGCAGAAGTAGCGATGCACAGACAGCACAAGTAGCGAGCGGTCTGCTGCTGCAGCTGCTGCAACTGCGTGTTGGTATGGATAGTCCTCCCATCTACCGGCGGTCCATCTGATGCCGCCGAAAAACAAGTCGTGCGTAACCTCGTCCCTCATCGAGGGTGAGGTTATCTCTCGCTTGGAGGACGTTCGATCCTACAGATAGCGCCCGCAGTTAAGAAACGTCAAAATCGGATCGAGCCTCAATCCCTGTTTGCGGCCTACGCCACTTATTTATCGGGTGAGACTGTTTTGGTGATGTATTAACTTCACGAGAGGTCGACGACCGTCCTTCACACGGACGAAAGAGGGAGTGCTCAAAGAGCGGCTCCCACAGCAAGGAGGGTCCCCGTGAATCATCGCGGTGCCCCCTACCAAACGGTAATCTTTCCAGTCTTCGTGACACAAAATTATTCAGCACATGTATTTAACACCAATTTTCGTAGACCCACGACCACCCTCCCTGGTTCTTCACGCAAGTGGCTAACCATCTATTGGGCAAGAACGCCCCTGGATACATCAGAAAATACCAACATGGTAATATATGGAGGGGAAACCCGGCGTCCGGGCAAAACCCCCCAAGAAAAACCCTACCACCACAAAAAACCGTCGCTATCACAGCGGATCACAACGGCCGCACTCATTAGAAAGGCCAAGGCGAAGACAAGAACGCGAGGAACTACGTTCCCCCGGACGATGGTCTCCCAACGCCCCCTACTCCTGCCATTGGTACACAGACCGCAACAGAGTTATGCGCCCTTCCCCGCATGGAAAACATGGCCTCTCCCAAGTGCTAGAAACTGCTACAGCTACTCC